AGGTAAGAATACTGGAGTGGGTTGCAATTTCCTATCCCAGGGGATCTTCCTGACCCAGGGATTCAACCCACGTCTCTTGCATTTCTTGTATTGGCAGGGAGATTCTTTACCACTGTGCCACCTGGAAAGCCCAATTTTGACTGGAGTATAGTTGATTTACAATGTTGGTTAGTTTAAGATGTACAGCAAAGTGAATCAGTTATACATATACATGTATTCATTCTTTTTAAAAGATTCTTTTCCCATATGGGCCATTACAGAGGAAAATAGCCTTCTTTCTTAAATCTCACTCCTTACTAATGCCCATAGATTACAGATACCAAAAAATTCTTATGATAAGCTATCAGACCATTCTAAAATATCTTCAGGCTGCCAAATGAAGTTCTAGGTATCTATATAATTTGGAGTGATCAAGGAGGAAGATGATTTTGAGAATCTGGGGTCTTTCTTATAGTGATAACAGTAGATAACATTTATTGAGCACTTCCTATGTGCCAGAAATGTTCCTTCATTATCTCATGCAGCCTCATAGGTGACAGGATTACATACCAACATCCACCCCATTTTACAGATCAGAAAACCAAAGAAGCAGAATTGAAGTAACTTTCCCAGGGTTGTACAGCTAGCAAGTGACCAAACTACATTTCAGAGCAGGAGTGTCTGACCTGGGAGCTGAACTTCTAAGTGTAGAGTGTGTATGGTGGTCATGTTCAGTAGCTTCAGTGGTGTCCGACCCTTTGTGATCCTATGGACTACAGCTCACCAGGTTCCTCTGTCCATGGGATTTTACAGGCAATAATACTGGAGTAGGTTGCCATTTCCTCCTACAGGGGATCTTCCTAACCCAGGGATCTAACTCACATCTCTTGCATTGCAGGTAGATTCTTTACTGCTGAGCACCAGAGAAGTCGCTATACCTCTCCTCTTTTCCCACCACTTCCATACGAGTACAGATCTTCTTTAACTTAAGGTGGGATTATATCCGGTGAAAATATTGCAAGTCAAAAATGCTTTTAATACCCCAACTTATTGAACATCACAGCATTCTCAGAATTCTTAACATTAGCCTGCTGCTGCTGCTGCTGTCGATTCACTCGTGTCCAACTCTGTGCGACCACATAGACGGCAGTCCACCAGGCTTCCCCGTACCTGGGATTCTCCAGGCAAGAACACTGGAGTGGGTTGCCATTTCCTTCTCCAATGCATGAAAGTGAAAAGTGAAAGTGAAGTTGCTCAGTTGTGTCCGACTCGTAGCGACCCCATGGTCTGCAGCCTACCAGGCTCCTCCATCCATGGGATTTTCCAGGCAAGAGTACTGGAGTGGGGTGCCATTGCCTTCTCCGAACATTAGCCTACAGTTGGGCAAAATCATATATCATAAATTCTGTTTCATAATAAAGTACTGAATAACCCATATAACTTATTGAATACCATACTAAAGGGAAAAACAGAATGGTTGTATGCGCACAGAATGGTTTTAAGTTTATCATTTGTTTACTAGTCATGAGACAGTATCATAACACATATCACTAGCACAAGAAAAGATCAAAATTCAAAATCAAAATACAGTTCCTACTGAAAGCGCTTCACCTTTACATGATCAAAAAGCTGAACAATCATAAGTCAAACCATCATAATTTGGAGACATGTCTGTATATGCTATGGTATTTATCCCCCTAAATTCATAGGATGAAATTCTAACTCCAAAGATGATGGAATTAGAGGGTTGGACATTTGAGAGAAATGATTAGACCATGCAGGTGGGGCCCACATGACTGGAATTGTGGCTTTATAAAACAGAACCCCCAAAAGAGCTCCCTAGCTCCTTCCACCACATGAGGGCACAATGAGAAGTCGGCAGTCTCGGCCAAGAAGACAGCCTCGCTGGAACCTGACCGTGCTGTAACCCTGATCTCAGACCTCCAGCCTCCGGAACTGTGAGCAATATGTTTCTGCTGTTTGTAAACCACCCAGTCGATGGTATTTTGTTATAGCAGCCTGAACAGACCAAGACAGTCTATACGCACAGGGCAATATCACAGGGTTGGAAGCTCACAGTGATCATATCCTAGTTCCCTGAGGTCACAACCTTCTCCCCACTTATCATTCCTCCTTTACGTATCATTCAATGAATATTTGAAACTGGGCATTGACAACGTGTCACACCGAGAACAAGCCCTGGGGATACAGAGGTGATCAATAATTAATGCAGCCCTGCTCTTATGGAGCCTACATTTTATATCTGATGTCGACACACATGAAGTAATTAAACACCCGTGTGAAATTGCAGCTGGGATAAGCGCTCCAAGGCACAAGAATGAGATGCTGTGAAACTGGGTAAAGTGCACTAGTTTGGGAGGTCAGGGAAGCTTTCCCTGACTCAGTGACGAAAGAAGTGATAGCTAAAGAAAGAGGAGAGGGGAAAGTCCCCCAGTGGGAAGCACAGCATGGGAGGAGGCCCTGCAACGAAGGTGGTATTACACCCCTGGGACTGAAAACTGAGCAGTGACTGGAGGACACCCTGCTATGCTAAGGACTTGGTCTTGATCACAAGGGCAGTGAAAGGCCTCTGAATCCCAATTCTGACTCCATTCTTAAAGAGCCAGTCGGGGCCAGCAGAGCCTCTAGAGTCAGCCGTGTCTGCCTGGTACCTTGATGTCTGGAGCATCACAGAGGCACTCTGCAGCACCAGCATCCCTAGAGTTCAGCTGAAGTCATGGCGATGGCCAGCTTGGGAACAGGGAGAACTGGGCCCTGGCAGCTTCCTGCCCTGCCTGTAAACACACATCCTTTGGCCTGGTAGCGAATGACGATTCCAAGAAAACGAAGGGTCACAAGATAGATAGTAACGATGGAATTTGCCCAGGCCAAGGATTACCCATACTTCTTTGCAAGCAAATTGGCCCACAGTAAGGAGTAATTTTAGTGCACTGTGAACAGGATTTCACAGATTATATTCTCTATCTCTGCCTTTTCTGCCAAACAATGCTAAAAAGTCTTTCCTTGAGAAATGTGATTATATGTCGTTTTCTGACACAAAGCTCTCTGCTGGCATTCCATGAGCGTGAAACAGTAGTGATCATGGTGACTCATTTATTACACTTGCTGTGCTGTGTGTGTGCTAAGTCACTCAGTCGTGTCTGACTCTCCGACCCCGTGGACTGCAGCCCGCCAGGCTCCTCTGTCCATGGGGTCCTCCAGGCAAGAGTACTGGAGTGTGTTGCCATGCCCTCCTCCGGGGGATCTTCTTGACCCAGGGATCAAACTCGCATCTCTTGTGTCTCCTGCATGGGCAAGCAGTTCTTTAACACTAGTGCCAACTGGGAAGCTTACTACTCCTGTCACTTAAACATTATTCACTGAACTTTGTAAACAATAAAGAGCTACTGTAAAATGACTTCTCTGCCTCACCAGATCGAACCAGGAATCAAACTGGGGTCTCCTGCATTGCAGGCAGATTCTTTACTACCTGGGCTACCAGGGAAGCCCTTCTTTGGTCTAGGGAGTGTTATTTATTTATTTATTATCTTTCTTCATGAGGGTTCATCATTTTCTGTATCTCAGTATCAAAGGACGGTGCAGGAGACAAAGTAAGAGAAACAGAGGTTTTGGCTTAGAAAGTTCAGACTCTTGGTTAGGTGGGAGGGAGGTGGAAGACTGGAGGTCTTCTAATCCAACTCCTGCTCAAGGCAGAAGGGCTTTCCACAAGGTGCTGGGCATGCTCAAGCATGCAGTCCTCTGGTTTAGGCCTGAACACCCTCATAGAGACATTGCTGCGTGCCGGTTAAGAGCAAATCTCTGACACCTTGGGTTCTTCCTGGCCTCCACCTCTTAGTAGCTGTTTGACCCGGGTACCCACAAGGCCTTACTTGACTCATTTCTAAAATGTCTAATAATAACATACGTGGATTGTTAGGATAATCCCTTGAACTGGTTTGAAACGCAGAGTTCAGGTTGCGGGCAAAGTGCACACACCTTAAGTTGTGGCTGAAGGCTCTGACCAAAATGATGACGTGCACAGGGCTAGTGCTAGAATTCTACAACAGGGCCCTAGATGCCCCTTGGCAATTTAAGCCTGCTTAATGTTCAGCTCTGGCCACCATATTAAAAGTCAGATTTACGGAGGGATTCTGAAGAATAGAAAGAGCGGAACCAGGGGGAGGCAGGGTCCGGGCCGTGGCAGGGGCTCCTGGGTTCTTCCACGGCACTGGCCCTGGACGCCTCAGCACCACGCGTCTGTGTGCCCGAGGCGGGCTCTCTGCGACTGGCACAGCCTGCGCCAGGGCCTTCTTCTCTTGGATCAGCGGGCCCTGCCCAGGTTGAGGGGGCAGCTGGGAAGGTGCTGAGCCAGGAGCCACCCCAGTTTGTCTCCACCACAGAGACCATCTTCCAGGAAGATAGATGAGTCCGGAGTTTGGCTCCAAGCAGCCTTCACAGATGTCCATTTAAATGAGCTATACGCAATGACAATTCTAGACGAAGTTAATGTAATGTGAGGCATCTTAAACTTGCCTCAAGCAAGAAATCATGAGGGGAGCCTGATTCCGAAAAAATTATTTTCAGAGAATAGTTGTGTATTTCCCTGATAAACTCATTGAAAACTGCTAGCATGTTTGGTGTATGTTCTTCGCAGAGATTTTTGGGGGGATGTTTAATCAGACAAAGGGTTCTTTGGAGATTGCAGCTTCCTCTGAAAGCACCATTGTCACCACCAATGGCTGTTGAATCTGAAAAAATAGAGCCTGAATTTCCCAGAGAGCCATATCTGGACACTAGAACAGGGCTATGGTAATCTGAGGGAGAAAATCAGAATTTCTACACCTTTATCTGAACTGCTGTTTTATCCCTGACAAAAATACGCACATTGCTAAAACCCCAAAGATCGGGAACTCAGGTCAGAAAAAGGACAAGCACATTCTTGGCTTCCAGCCAGCTTATGCATTAAAGAAGTATCGTGGCCACATCTTCAAAAGGAATAACCCCACTGTTGTTTGAATTAGCTTGAGCTACACCTGGGGTGTGTTCAGGTGTGTGGGTTACCTTCTGAGAAAGGCGTTGGAAGTCAGAGGATTCCAGGTAAAGAGCATCAGAAAAATGAAGAGAAGTTCTGTGTGTCAGATTACACGAAGAACCATATGATGTCGAACCATGACCTGGGAAGAATGGAGTTTAAGCAGAAGCTGCCTCCTCAGCCAGGGAGGTCAGTGGACCAGGCAGATTACACAAAGAACCATATGATGTCAAACCAGGACCTGGGAAGCATGGAGTTTAAGCAGAAGCTGCCTCCTCAGCCAGGGAGGTCAGTGGACCAGGCAGATTACACAAAGAACCATATGATGTCGAACCAGGACCTGGGAAGCATGGAGTTTAGGCAGAAGCCGCCTCCTCAGCCAGGGAGGTCAGTGGACCAGGCAGATTACACAAAGAACCATATGATGTCGAACCAGGACCTGGGAAGCATGGAGTTTAAGCAGAAGCCGCCTCCTCAGCCAGGGAGGTCAGTGGACCAGGCAGACACAGACACATTTCTCCTGCTCCTGAGGGGCGAGCCGAGCTCCCCAAGTGCTGGTGGCGATGGAGAAAGCGATTTCCAATGAATACAAATATATTTATTTCTGACACAGAATCTCTATCATGGAGAAGATTGTCTGTGATTGGAGGAGATGCTGTGATGCATCTAGTTTGTGTTGGAGAGATTTCTGAAGCAGACAAGTCAGATTTTATAGAGGAGGTGAGGGAAACTCCTATCAAAAGGCAAGGAGATTCATGTTGATGTATGGCAGAAACCAAGACAATATTATAAAGTAATTATCCCCCAATTTAAAAAAAATTTTTATTTATTTATTTTTTATTTATTTATTTATTTATTTATTTATTTTTTTATCACAACCATAGTGTATCTTTTTTTTTTTTTTTTTTTTACATGTATTCCCCATCCCGGTCCCCCCTCCCACCTCCCTCTCCACCCAATCCCTCTGGGTCTTCCCAGTGCACCAGGCCCGAGCACTTGTCTCATGCACCCAACCTGGGCTGGTGAACTGTTTCACCCTAGATAATATTCGTGTTTCAATGCTGTTCTCTTGAAACATCCCACCCTCGCCTTCTCCCAGAGTCCACAAGTCTGTTCTATACATAGGAGTCTTTTTTTCTGTTTTGCACATAGGGTTATCGTTACCATCTTTCTAAATTCCATATATATGCGTTAGTATTCTGTATTGGTCTTTATCTTTCTGGCTTACTTCACTCTGTATAATGGGCTCCAGTTTCATCCATCTCATTAGAACTGATTCAAATGAATTCTTTTTAATGGCTGAGTAATATTCCATGGTGTATATGTACCACAGCTTCCTCATCCATTCGTCTGCTGATGGGCATCTAGGTTGCTTCCATGTCCTGGCTATTATAAACAGTGCTGCGATGAACATTGGGGTACACGTGTCTCTTTCAGATCTGGTTTCCTCGGTGTGTATGCCCAGAAGTGGGATTGCTGGGTCATATGGCAGTTCTATTTCCAGCTTTTTAAGAAATCTCCACACTATTTTCCATAGTGGCTGTACTAATTTGCATTCCCACCAACAGTGTAAGAGGGTTCCCTTTTCACCACACCCTCTCCAGAATTTATTGCTTGTAGACTTTTGGATAGCAGCCATCCTGACTGGTGTGTAATGGTACCTCATTGTGGTTTTGATTTGCATTTCTCTGATAATGAGTGATGTTGAGCATCTTTTCATGTGTTTGTTAGCCATCTGTATGTCTTCCTTGGAGAAATGTCTGTTCAGTTCTTTGGCCCATTTTTTGATTGGGTCATTTATTTTTCTGGAGTTGAGCTGGAGGAGTTGCTTGTATATTTTTGAGATTAATACTTTGTCTGTTGCTTCGTTTGCTATTATTTTCTCCCAATCTGAGGGCTGTCTTTTCACCTTGCTTATAGTTTCCTTTGTTGTGCAAAAGCTTTTAAGTTTCATTAGGTCCCATTTGTTTATTTTTGCTTTTATTTCTAAAATTCTGGGATGTGGGTCATAGAGGATCCTGCTGTGATTTATGTCGGAGAGTGTTTTGCCTATGTTCTCCTCTAGGAGTTTTATAGTTTCTGGTCTTACATTTAGATCTTTAATCCATCTTGAGTTTATTTTTGTGTATGGTGTTAGAAAGTGTTCTAGTTTCATTCTTTTACAGGTGGTTGACCAGTTTTCCCAGCACCACTTGTTAAAGAGGTTGTCTTTTTTCCATTGTATATCCTTGCCTCCTTTGTCAAAGATAAGGTGACCATAGGTTCGTGGATTTATCTCTGGGCTTTCTATTCTGTTCCATTGATCTATATTTCTGTCTTTGTGCCAGTACCATACTGTCTTGATGACTGTGGCTTTGTAGTATAGTCTGAAGTCAGGCAGATTGATTCCTCCAGTTCCATTCTTCTTTCTCAGGATTACTTTGGCTATTCGAGGTTTTTTGTATTTCCATACAAATTGTGAAATTATTCGTTCTAGTTCTGTGAAAAATACCGTTGGTAGTTTGATAGGGATTGCATTGAATCTGTAGATTGCTTTGGGTAGTATAGCCATTTTGACAATATTGATTCTTCCAATCCATGAACACAGTATATTTCTCCATCTGTTTGTGTCCTCTTTGATTTCTTTCATCAGTGTTTTATAGTTTTCTATGTATAGGTCTTTTGTTTCTTTAGGTAGATATACTCCTAAGTATTTTATTCTTTTTGTTGCAATGGTGAATGGTATTGTTTCCTTAATTTCTCTTTCTGTTTTCTCATTGTTAGTGTATAGGAATGCAAGAGATTTCTGTGTGTTAATTTTATATCCTGCAACTTTACTGTATTCGTTGATTATCTCTAGTAATTTTCTGGTAGAGTCTTTAGGATTTTCTATGTAGAGGATCATGTCATCTGCAAACAGAGAGAGTTTCACTTCTTCTTTTCCTATCTGGATTCCTTTTACTTCTTTTTCTGCTCTGATTGCTGTGGCCAAAACTTCCAAAACTATGTTGAATAGTAGTGGTGAGAGTGGGCACCCTTGTCTTGTTCCTGATTTCAGGGGAAATGCTTTCAGTTTTTCACCATTGAGGGTGATGCTTGCTGTGGGTTTGTTATATATAGCTTTTATTATGTTGAGGTATGTTCCTTCTATTCCTGCTTTCTGGAGAGTTTTAATCATAAATGGATGTTGAATTTTATCAAAGGCTTTTTCTGCATCTATTGAGATAATCATATGGTTTTTGTCTTTCAATTTGTTAATGTGGTGTATTACATTGATTGATTTGCGGATATTAAAGAATCCTTGCATTCCTGGGATAAAGCCCACTTGGTCATGATGTATGATTTTTTTAATATGTTGTTGGATTCTGTTTGCTAGAATTTTGTTAAGGATTTTTGCATCTATGTTCATCAGTGATATTGGCCTGTAGTTTTCTTTTTTTGTGACATCTTTGTCTGGTTTTGGAATTAGGGTGATGGTGGCCTCATAGAATGAGTTTGGAAGTTTACCTTCTTCTGCAATTTTCTGGAAGAGTTTGAGTAAGATAGGTGTTAGCTCTTCTCTAAATTTTTGGTAGAATTCAGCTGTGAAGCCATCTGGTCCTGGGCTTTTGTTTGCTGGAAGATTTCTGATTACAGTTTCGATTTCCTTGCTTGTGATGGGTTTGTTAAGATCTTCTATTTCTTCCTGGTTCAGTTTTGGAAAATTATACTTCTCTAAGGCAAGGAGATTCATGTTGATGTATGGCAGAAACCAAGACAATATTATAAAGTAATTATACCCCAATTTAAAAAAAAATTTTAAAATACATTTAAAAATAAAGTCAAGGAGTGGGGGTGTTGATAACGGGCAAGACTACACATGTTGGGGTAGGGGGTGGAGGGGGAACCTCTGAAACTTCAGCTCAATTTTGCTGCGAGGCTAAAACCACTGTAAGGAATAAAGTCTACTTTAAAAAACATAGAGAAGCAAGAAGAGGACCCTGTTTGTTCCCGAGAGGGAGGAGTGAGTAGAAAAGGGAGATGGGGAGAGAGTAAAGCCAGCAGGAAGTAAGAAGGTAGGAGAATGGCACAGAGACAGACCCGGGGAGGACAGAATGGGTTTGAGAGTCAGAACATCTCTTAGTTCCTTCCTTCCATCATCCATCTATACCTAGATCTATAAATATTTTAAATGTTTAATTGAAGTAGAGTTGATTTACTGTGGCTTCCCTTGTGACTCAGATGGTAAAGAGTCTGCCTACAGTGCGGGAGACCCAGGTTTGATCACTGGGTCGGGAAGATCACCTGGAGAAGGAAATGGCAACCTACTCCAGTACTCTTGCCTGGAAAATCCCATGGATGGAGGAGCCTGGCAGGCTACAGTCTGTGATGTTGCAAAGAGTCAGACACGACTGAGTGACTTCACTTTCTTTCTTTCCTCCTTTGATTTACAATAGCATGAAAGTTTCAGGGGTAGAGCAAAGCAATCCAGAGAAAAGTCTAATCTGAAAAGATACATGCATCCAGTATTCACAGCAGTGCTATTTAAAATAACCAAGACAGGAAGCAACGTAAATGCCCATCAACAGATGAATGGATAAAGAAGATATGCTACATATATATAATGGAATATTACTCAGCCACAGAAAAGAATGAAATAATGCCATTTACAGCAACAAGGGTGGCCTTAGAGATGACCATACTAAGTTAAGTAAGCCAGACAGAGAAAGACAAGCATCAACAGGTATTTTCGAGTGCTCAAACCTGTGTGCTAGGTGCTATCAGAGCCACTGAGGACAGGGACGTTCATACAGCAGAGTGCCTGCTCCCATGCAGGCTCACATTCTAGTGGGCAGATGCCAATGGACCAACACAGAAACATACGGTACATCTGTCCCTGGGAAGTGCCATGGGGAAACACAAATCCAAGGAAAGCAGCTGGGTGAAGAGAGTGACAAGGCAAGGTTGCACAGGTCTGAGGCAGTATGAGAATTCACAGGAGCCTAGAGCCTGAGATAGAGGCCCAAACCCCTCACAACGTAAAGCATGTGCTCCCTCTTTGAAACTAGCAAGTATCTTGGGGAAGACTTTAAACTTGAACATGCTATGAAATTGTTAGGGTTGAAACCAATTTTACCCAAATTTCGCAGAAGCAAGGAAGTCCTACATACACTTGATCATGAGATATCTCCACAAGGTTCTGACAGGTGTATGAAACATTCATCTCTGAAATAATCTACATGAAGGCTTCCAGAGGAGTGCTACTGCATTGCATAGTGAAGTGAAAGTGAAGTTGCTCAGTCGTGTTTGACTCTTTGCGACCCCATGGACTAATGTAGCCCACCAGGCTCCCCCGTCCATGGGATTCTCCAGGTAAGAATACTGGAGTGGGTTGCCATTTCCTTCTCCAGGGGATCTTCCCTACCCAAGGATTGAACCCGGGTCTCCCACATTGCAGGCAGACACTTTAACCTCTGAGCAACCAGGGAAGCCCCACTGCGTTGCATAGGAGGTTGAAATAAATAGTTTTTAAGTCTGGCATAGTACCATAATCACCTGGAGATTGTTTTAAAAATAAGTTTCTCAGCCTCACCTCCAAAATTCCGAATCATAATCTGGAAAATGGAG